TCAACTCCCAGAATTCCCCAGCCGGTTGGCTGGGGAATTCTGGGAGTTGAAGTCCACCTATCTTAAGGTTGCCACGGTTGAGAAACACTGGACTAGACTGTGAAGCTGAAAAAAAGTTAAGGAAGAAAGCCATGGTGAATCGTATCTATGTATTGCTCTGAACCTAATCAGCATGATTATGTTTATCCATTCCTAACAAGTCAAACCTGACCCAACAATCTTGTTATCTTTCTACTGATAAAGGATAAAATGTGGTTGAGACAACAATTTATAGCTGTCTGGATAGACACTGAATAAGACATTTTGGAACAATAATCCATATCTTTAAATGAGGCACCAGTGTAGGCTTATCATGAGTGAAATAGGGCATCTTATTCAATGCTTTAGGGAAGCCCCTTCTGACCATGACAAGGCCAGTTCTGGAAGGAATTAAAGGAAAACTTTTCAGACGCCAAGTGTTGGCATTTTGTGTTACCAATTATATACGTTTGTAACTTCACCGTTAGCTTACCTTTTCTTTCAGATGAAGCACAATACTTTGATTGTCTCCGGCAATGATTTTAACCACTTTGCCTGAGGTACTTCCTTTAGTGAGAGATGGAAAAAAAGGGTAACTTCTTGCTAAAGTCTCAGAAAGTTTTTTTATTATCTAAAACCTGGTTAGTAGAAGTTTGACTAATGCCACTTACGATGCAAGCTACTCAACAAAAACAAACCTTTCACTGTGTCATCAGAAGAAATCACTGCAGGCCAAGAATGATCTCAGCACATTGGTGTCAGCTGCTATAAGCAGATACTTATTTGGAAACACACTTTGCTGCCAAATTAGGATTGTTTATTAAGGTTAGGCCATTACAGTCACAAGCCAAAGAAATGGCTTTTCTCATCCCAGTCCTGTTCTCTGACATAGCCATTGGTGTCTTGATTACATTTTCCCCTACTAACCACATCCCTTGGTGTGCATCTGTCGACTCTCTATTTTTTTATTGTAATCTGCAAATCATTTTCAGACTTAGAATTTAGCTTGTACTTGGCGTACAACATTCAGCTTGAAAAATGGCGTGACTTACTGCAGTTCATGTTTTTATCGTGAAGAGCCAGATCAAGAGGAAGGGGAACCAGCTGGTCACTCTTTCTTCCTTCTCCAAGTTGCCCTTTTGCTCCATATCCAAACGAATATACTTCCCCAAGTGCCGGGATATAGACCAAAGTGTGCCATCTGTTTGCAGAATCATAGGTAATTCTTAGGTAGAAGTGTTACTGATCTCTTATAAACTGAAAAGATATTACGACCACTGACAACAAAGGGTTTCCATTCTGCTGTTTCTTTAGGACTCTGGAGCGATAGGATTTGATCAGCAACAACCCTTGATTTGGAGACAAAACAAATGCTGTATCCTGTCCCATTTCTAGGTTTCGCAGGATTATTATTTCTTGCTTCTGAAAAGGGCATTAGCTTTACCTTGATGCCACTTATAATAGCCTGGCAAATACTTCTCTTTGCAATGGTTTGATCTGCCTTCCCTGCATTTTTATTTACGGAGTCATATGCAAGTTGATCTCTTTGAAAATCTTGAATAAAGGAGTTCGTTCTTTATTGCGTGTTTTTAACCTTGAATATCACCCACCTACTGCATTTCAAAACCCCCACAGAGGCCTTGCCCACTGGCGAGACATAGCTTGCTTTCTATTTTTCACAAGCTTGTAACCATAATGTAACAGCTGTAGGTGCACTGCATTTGGAGAGAATATCTTAAGCAGGAGACAGAGAAATATAAATGGTTCAGCTGGAATCGTTTGCAATTTTGCAATAAACAATGAAACAGTGGCTGATAAGCTGCCGTGTTTCTGGTTCAAGCCTGAGAATCTTTTCCCCCAGAGTGTCCAGCCCAGCCCCTTTATTTATGTATTAATTTATTTATTTATCTGAAAGAATATATATGCAATTCATTCCATTCATGGTTCTGGGCAGCTTTCCATAAAACAGCATTAAAAGTGTGACAAATAGGAAATATAAACTAAACCAGTAAATTTATAAAAACTGGATAAATAAATGCATTTTGACCTTGCCCTTAGGGCTGATCTGAACTTCTTGATTACTCTAGTGGGAGAACTGCCCACTAACCATTACTCAAAGGCAGAAATGCATAATATCATTAACAACCTACAGATCTGCTGTGTTTTAGTCTTTGTAGGGAATGGCTTTCCCTCTGAGCCGCTAGGGGGCACTTTGGGGGGAATGCCCCCTCCCCTCCAGGCCCTGGTAGCTCTCTGGCATGGCCATTTTGTCCTGGGCTGCCTGCCGGGGGACCGATCAACCTCGGCTGTTCTTTTTTTCCCCCTCTGTGTTTCACCACTTACACAGTGAGCCTCTGATTCTCTCTTTTTTTTTTTTGGAAACCCTTTGTTTTATTGGTTCACTGATGCACTGGTAAAACAAAACCAAACAACAACAACAAAACCAGGGCAAATTGACAAGAATTTTGCCATTCTCCCTTCTAGTCTGAAAGAAAGATAAAACCGGGTGTCTTTAAAAAAAGTTTCGGCAGGGTAAGGGTGAAAGGATAGCATTCCTCTTATTTTAAACTGGGTGAAATGGTTCAGAATTTTGCCAGTCCCCCTTCTGGATGAAGTGACAGGAAAAACTGTAAAATTGTGTGCGCGGAAGAAGTTGTTCATATTAAAAGATACACCCAATGAAAGGGAAATAGTGGTGCTTGCCTTCCTAGCATAGGTGGCAAGAAGAAAGAAGCAGGGAAATCTACTATCAAAGATTAAGGGAAGTACTTTCGGGAGAGGCCATTGGCCATCACTATGGCCAAAGTGGAGGAAGGGGTTGGAATCTGCAAAAAGGATTGTTTAAGCCAGCTTCATTTCCAGCCAGTTTACCCATGGGACTGTGGGCAGCTCATAATATATTAAGCAAAATAAAAACAGAATGAAAAATGTATAGAAAAGATAGGATCCAACCACTCAATACAGCACATATATCAAAAACACATCCCACATGGGGTTCCATCTACCCTACCCCAAGGCCTGGGAGAAGATCTTCAGGGTCTTCTGGAACGCCATCAGGGTGGAAGCCATATGGACATCAGGAGGGGTCTCATTCCAGAGAGATTTCCTGGGTCCCAGTAGATGGCACTGTTTCACTGAAAGGACCTGAAGCACAACTGACTCTGTTGGCTCATACTGGATGGGCAGAAAGCATGGGAGATAGGTGATCCCTCAAATAACCTGGCCCTATGCTAGGTAGGGATTTTTAGGTGATAAGCATCACCTTGAATTGGACCTGGAACCATACTGGCGACCAGTACAGCTCATGAAGCAGAGGTGTCAGAGAGGCATGCTGAGGCACGCCTATCACTTTCTTGGCTGCTGCATTCTGGACCAGCTGAAGCATCCAGTTGGGCTTCAAGGGCAGCTCCACGTAGAATGTATTGAAATGCGTCAGTTTCTCTTGCTTGTTGTTGCCTCCATTCCACTGAAGTGCAACTTTGGAGGACAGGCACCTTTTCCTGATTTCACTTGATACCAGTTCTCCTCTTGACACCACAAAATATTTCGAAGGAACAGGGATGTCTTACCTTCCACAGGCTACCTGAGTCACCTGTGCACCAAATAGCTCTGCCACAAGACGTGGAAACAGCTCGTTGCGTGTGGAGTTGTGGCCAAGCTGTCCAAAGCAGCCAGCTCCAAAGGTGGAGACCGATCCATCCTTGGTGGGAAAGAGGAAAAACATGGCCTGGTTCAGCACAAACCCTTTGTCACTTGGTTGGGAATATTAAAAATTGTACAGATTGTGAGGGGAAGGAGGAATAGTAGTAGTATACAGTACAGAGCATGTAGTTTATACTCTGCACTACAGAGGCACCACCAAATCTATATCAAGGAAAACGGTAATTGCAGCCTGTAAAAACCATGCATGAGTATATTTTACTCCTGCTAAGACAGAAGTGCACAGCTTTGTTGGCTCAAGAGCTGTATTGGGCTTTGTATGGCTCATTGAGATCTACAGAATAAAACTAGGTAGGGGGCCTATCACAGATCTTTTCTCACTAAAAGGCTCTCCTGTAACCTTGGGATTGTAGCCATGGACTTACATGACAAAGGTAGACATCCCTTTTAATTTCCCACAGTGCCCTTGACATAGCATTGCTGTAAGAGTGGGTTCCAAGATTGCGCAAGATTTTAAAAACTGTTATGGAAACCATCAGCTGCAAAGTCCCCATTTATCAGGAAAGAGATTCACCTCTTTGCTCCTTTACAGAGAGGCTGTGAGAAAATGAATCAGAAAGTCTCCACCCCAATGTACACGCAGATACATTGGTTCTAAATTGAAAACATGTCAATTGCAGAACTTCTTGTACTCATATCCCTTTCAGCTCAATAAATCTTGCTAAAAAGAATTCTGAGAATTGAGCTTGGAAAAAATCACTTTTGGTTCAAATAGCTGCCAAAGAGCCTAACAAAAGCTGTGAAGCACTGTGGAAAACTATCACCTAATAAATTCATTCAAGACAAATTGTGCTTAGACTTCCCCTTAATTCTGGAGCTCACAGATTGCTCTTTGAAGTAGTACAAGAAACTGTTCCCTTCCTTTCCTCCAAATTCCTCATCTTCTTCAGAGATTTTACCTCCTCACCATCTGATTCTGTATGTAACTTTTCCCCCATCTACCTACTGATGAGGGAAAAGAAGAAATTCCAGTAAGGCATTTATTTATTTTACAGTATTTATGAATTCTCCAATCAATCATGATTCTGGTCTGGATTGTCCCCTTTGGGTTTGTTTGACATCAGTTGCAAAGCACTTTTATCTGAATGTGATTCAGAATTCTAGAGAAGACTATACTTACATCAGAGCTTTTTCTGAAACATTTTTCTCCTATTAGACAAGGAAGTTAATGTATCAAAATCACTACATTAATATGGAAGAGCAACATAGAGTAAAATCAGTTCACTAAGAATTACAGCTTGGTAGAATGGAAGAAGTTTTGACAAATTCCATGACACTTTATACCTATCTTTCCCATGTGGCTTTTGATCTATTGCCTTCATCATCTCCTACTATAACTGAGCTATAAAGACATGCACTTTTACTTGCCACATTCTTTTATCTCTCCCTTGTTCTGTTGTTTTCCCCAAAATATTTTAATTGTAAGTTACATAATGGCAGGAAGCCATCTCACCAGCCCACTTTCTCCTGTTCTGCTTGTCCTGCTCCTTGACCTGCTCAGGAACCACTTGTTGCTTAATTTAGATAACCCCCTTCCATGTAGAGAAATGAATGCATCCAGACCTATAGATGCAGAAACTAACATTGATGTTGGTTCTTGCCCTTCCATTTTGCTCTCTGTGAAATTGTATCTTCACAGCCATGAAGCCTAGAAACCTGTCCTGTTTGTTATGTTTTGTTTTATTCATGTTAAAAGGGGGGAAAGAGTTAAACTAAATCCTGAACTGAGGAAATTCTGGCATGTGTGAAATTAAATAAAAGTCACAGTCCAAGAGAATAAAAGTCACAATCCTAGGGAAATTAAAAACGTTAGGGTAATCTGCTATACTTGAGAGTGGAATTAAACATGGCAGAACATACGATCTCACTGCTGCTGCCAGCCTTACTTCTCCCTTTTCCTCAGTAATGTGCGTGATGCAACTTCAACCCGTTGTCCCTGATAACCAGAGATGGGCTGTGAAAATGGACAACACAAGGGCAGCACCTCATGCATTTGAGCTTCCAGACAGTTGCTGGATATGAAGGAACATGTGAAAAGGCACCCTGAGGGAAATGGCTATACCCAACATAATCAACTTATGGAATTCATTGCTGAGAGTAATGAGACAAACTCCTCGAGGTGAATCTGAGAGAAAGGTGGTATCTAAAATATCATACAAATCAGATGAAAAGTTTTAAAAAGAAGTAAATAAACCTTTGAGAGAACTGCAGTGTGCTCGCCACCACATGAAATGAAGACTGTCTTCTTATGCTCTAATGCCTTCACATTTGCAGGAATGTATCTGTCTGAAAGGTAAAAGAAAGGTTAAACATGACCACTTCCAGACAGTGACAATAGATACTTTAAAAAAATGGGCAAAACCATTCATTTGGCAGAACTGGAAATTGTTTGTGTATAAAATGGGATTCTTTGTGAAGTACTGTGCTTCCTTTCTATATTTAGGAACATAAGCTACCTGTATATCTGAAAACTGAATCAGAACTTTCCAGATGTGTTGATCCTTTGGGACCATCTTCTCCTAGAAGAATCTGCCCGTCCCGTGTGACCATCCCAGGAAGGGATATAGTACTTTAGGTATTTCCTCCTGGAGGGGCAGGAACCGAGAATCAGGCCTTCTCAGTGGCTGTCCCAGCTCTATGGAATACTTTGGCCCCCAAGGCTCAGATGACTCCCTCATTCTTAGCTTTTGGGAAAGTAGCTGGGCCTTTCAGACTTCAGGGTTCCATTGACTGTTTTTAGTTTATGTTTAAGTAATTTCATTGTCAGTAGTTTTTAATTCTTTTAATCTCTGCTTCTTATCTCTTGTTGCTTTTGGGATTTTTAATGTACTGTAAGCCCTCTCAAGGTGATTGAATTAAGTGGAGATACAGCTGATGTAATAATTCATTAAATAAATTCCCATAATACCCAGCCAGTATGGCCTGGAGAGCAGCAAGTTAGGGAAGGCTGAAGTAACAGAACAGAAGGAAGTTGAAGTTCAACATGCCTTGAGGAGAGCAGGTTAAGAAAGTTACTGGAAAATAATGCTACCTAGTGTGGCAAGAGAACTCCACTGAAATCCACAATCATCACACTTTCAAGGTCTATATGAATGACTAGAATAATTACAAGGCTTAAAATCTGTGTTGTATCTCTTTTTCTTCAGATATGGACTGATGGAGAATACCGTAATACAAACTAGCAATCTTTGTGCAGTTGGGGACATTGCTGGCCATGTAACTAAAGTAAATCAGCAGAAATGACCCTTGGTAAGCAATGAGTGGCTATTCCACAATATATATAATTGAAACTAAACAGAAAGAAGAATCTCTTCCCAGCTGCTTATCATTCTAGATATTGCTACTAGTAACTAAGTAAGGAGCAAGTTCTCTTTGGTCTAGCAGTGGCTTAGATGATATGTAATTGTGGAGAACTTCCCCATCCTCCTTACTCTGTCTTCCTTCTTATCATCCTGGGTTAATGGCAAAGCCATCTCCTTTCCATGCAGAAGATTCCAAGGGATCAGCCTAGAAAAACTGGCCCTGCTTGACATCTTGTAGAGCTGCTGCAGGTCCCAGTATTGAGCTAGACCCATCTTCATCCTGTTATCTTCTAAATCTATTGAACAACATGACTACAAAGTCATAGCCCAAGAGCTCAAGAGAGAAGCTAGAGACAATGAGTCATGGTGTCCCATTTAATGTGATTATGAATTGGTGTATTTCAGATGCCCCCTCCACCACATTTACAGAATTTCTCCTCACCTTTTGTGTCTCCAAGGCCCAGTTGTCCAAACGTATTCTTTCCCCAAGAGTAGACAGTACCAAACACAGAGATGGCCATGCTGTGAGCAGATCCAGCTGCAATCGTAACCAAAGGAATGCCTTCCAGTGCTCGTACCAGCTGTGGTTCTTCAGTGAGATCCATCTCCCTTCCCACTCCAAGCTGACCATGTTCATTCTGACCCCAGACAAAGAGTTCTCCTCCTTAGCACAATACACAAAAGGAAGCTGTTGATACAGAGTTATCTGTATTTATCCATACATTTCTATCCCATTTTGCCTTAAGAGTTCAAAATGATGCACATGAAGCTCTTCCTTGATTTTATCCCCACAATAATAACTTGTGAGATGGTTTGGGCCAAGAGAAATGACTGACCCCAAATCAAGAATTCCATAGACAAGTGAGGCCTTTAACATGAGTTTCCATGTCCCAACTCAACATTTTAACCATTATACTATACACTTTCCAGAAAAATTTAAATGTACTGGACTCAGTATGGAGCAGGCATCTATGGAGAAGCATGAGTGGTGCAATGTTCCCTCCTTTCCCCATTATATTTGATTTTGTTTTTACAAAATGCTTGTAAGATAGGTGTCAAAAGACAGTTATGGCTGTAAGTTAAAACACTTCTACATGGCGCTATTTCCACTACTAGATTCCTTCAAAGCATTTGTATTCACTTTTGCCAAGTTCAGAAAGTTAAGGACAGGCAGAGAACAGCATGATCCAGTCAGTGTGCTGACCAATAGGAGAGTGCCCAAACCCTTCATTCAATCAATGCCCTGTCCTAAGTTATGGCCTAACCAAAGTCACCCTTGTCCTGCTGCACACAGAAAGGGGAAAACATCAATGGCTATTCCCCTCCATGTTGTCCCAAAATGCTGGGGGCATTTGTCCATTTTCCCCAAAATTTGAGCTGTTGGGATGAGGGGAAAGCAGATTTTTACTGGTAAAAATTTCCATTTCAGAATGCCACTCATAGGACATTGCTTGAATGCATGCTTTTTCCTGTCTAAATCTCTCAGGACTCTTTTATCAGCTGTCCTTGCTTGAATTTGGCAAAAGCTACCCAGACACTTTGCCATCTAGCTTGGCATGGCTAGATAGGAATATTTATTGTATATTAGAATGAATCCACTTTCAGCAGTTGATTGCCCTCCATCAACATAAGGGTGTAGTCCCTTTTTATACCCATTTTCATTTCAATCCAACATTTTCCCCCATCTTTCCCATGATTTTAGGGATATCTAGCTTAGCATTTTTCAGGCTTCATGGTAGATAGCAGTCAGCTGTTGATAGAATCAGCATTCCTGCCTTAAGAAACTCTAGTTCCCAACACATTTCTCATATTTTTGATCCAACCACCAACCCAGGCACAGATTGGTTAATTCTTTGTTTCTCTCTCTCTCCCTCCCTCCCCCCCCCCCATGTGAGCCTGGGACTGGAAATGATTTTATTTTCATTACGTACATTCCTTCTAGGTTTTAGGGTTTCATTTTGAAATATTAATTAATTAATTTATTTATTTGTTGGATTTCTCCCCCACCCATCTCCCCCACAATACGGGACTCTGGGCGACTTACAAAAAACA